ATTCATCACTACTGAAAAATTTTACAAAACAAAGATTCTATTCTTGTCAGTTTTCTACTACTCTTTAAAAAGAGGGATCTTTTCAGATAATGTTTCTAAAATATTGAACATATATATTACATATTTGTGTAAATAAACACAACCCAAATCAAAAATCAGCATTATATGAAATGGTCAAAAGCTTAGAGCTTTTACTCTAAAGTCAGAAAAAAGACAAGAATGTCTACCATCACCCCTTCATTCCATTCAGCTCTGGAAACATTAGCCAGAGCAATTAGACAGGAGAAAGAAATAAAAGGAATAAAAGTAGGAAAGGAAGAAGTCGAATTATCATTATTTGCCAATGATATGATACTCTACATAGAAGACTCCAAAAAATTCACCAAGGACTTCTAGATTTAATAACCAGATTCAGTTGCCTAGCTGGACACAAAGTCAACACTCAAAAATCAATACCATTCCTGTACATGAATAAGAAATTGAGAGAGAAATTCTAAAAAATGGTGCCTTCCATTATACAATCAAAAAGAAAAAGAAAAAGAAAAAGAAACAGGAATCAGTCTAACAAAGGAAGTAAAAGACCTCTACACTGAAAACTATAGTACTCTGAAAAAGGAGATCTAAGAGGACACCAAAACATGGAAAGATATCCCTTGCTCTTGGGTAGGAAGAACCAATGTAGTAAAATGACAATGCTCTCAAAACTGTCATACAGATTTAATTCAATCCAAATAAAAATATCATTAGCATTTAACTCACAGAGCTAGAGAAAACATTCCTAAAATTCAGTTGGAACCAGGAGAGACCTAGAATAACAAAAACGATTCTGAGTAAAAATAAAGGAAGACCAGAGGCATCACATGACTTACTTAAAATGATACTACAGAGCTATTGTACTAAAAACCAGCATGGTACTGGCAGAAGCTGACCTAGGAATGAATGAACCAGATTTGATGATGTGGAAACAACTCCATTGTTGGTGGGAGTTTAGACTGGTGAAACCACTGTGGAAATCATTGTGGAGTTTCCTCAAAAAACTAGGACTAGAGGTCCTATTTGACCCAGCTATTCCTTTTCTTGGTATCTTCCCAAAAGAATTGAAAGCATCATACTGCAGCAATATACGCACACCCATGTTTTTAGCAGCACAGTTTGTACCTAAATCTTTGAAACAATCCTAAATGCCCATCAGCTTATGAATGGATGAAGAAGATATGGTTTCTTTATACAATGGAGTACTACATAGCCATAAAGAAAGATAAACTTGAAAAATTTATAGCTAGATGGATGGACCTTGAGATCATACTCTTAAATGAAATAAGTTGGACACATGTGTAAATACCACATTCTCTCTGGTGTGAGAAATTAAAAGTGTAAATAAGAGACAAAATGTAAAATACATATTGTGAAATATGCAGAAATTGTTCTAAAGGAAAGGAAAATGGGGGTGGGATGAGAAAAAAGGATAAAATGGAAACAATGCCATGTAAATAAGGAAGAAATCAGAGTTGAAAAGCAGCTAAGGAAATGGGGGAAAAAAGAACTAAGACATATCATGCACAGTTCCAAGTTTCCTGTGATGAACATGATCATTATGTATATCTAAATTATACCAAAAAACTTAATTTAAAAAGTCACCCATTCATTGTTTTGTAGTAAAATGTAGACATTATCTGCTATATTTTTCTTTTTATTCTGCTCCTTAAAA